GGTGTGCGCCTGTAATCCTAGCTGCTTGGGAGGCTGAGGTGGGCGGATTGCTTGAGCCTTGGTGGTACCAGGTTGCAGTGAGCTGAGATTGCATGTATCCCTACACTCCAGCCTGGGTGTCTCAAAAAAAGAAAAAAGGGAAAGCAAAGAAAAGAAAAGTTAGAACCACCTTCAAGCCCCCACCCAGACAACTGCTTGTAAAATAAGTCAGATAGTTAAAAGCAATGGCATTTTATAGCAATAGGGAGGGGTTGCTGATAATAGAATAGGAATTCAGACCAACGACCAGCATTAAAGCCAGCAGTGTTGGGGTAAACAGCTTTTCACATATTTTCAGATATTGTTAGTATCTCTAAGGACATTACAGTTTTACTCTGAAATTAGTAATTTTCATAGTGAACATCATCAGAATAAAGTTTATACCTGTACCCTGTATAACAGGGATCTTCAAACTGTGGCCGATAGGTCAGATCCAGTCCATGCTTATTTTTATAGGAGCTGAGGGTGGTTTTTATATTTTTAAATGCTTACATTTTACATGGTTATATAAGCACCTACATAATCTCTTTTTTGTCTCTTGGCCCTCAAAGCCTAAAATATCTGTGATCCTGTTAAGAAAAAATTTGCCTACCCCTACTGTAGAAGAAAGTTGGAAGGCATGTACTGCCATTGATCCATGTGAAATTGTTAGTACTTGAGCATTTTTGATATACAAAAAGGTTAATTTCATACAGGTCAAGCTAATATATTTTGAGGACATTCTTCTTTCACAATGGTTAAAATGCTAACATTTGGGCTCTTGGAGTGGAAGAAGTAAATTTTATCTGAAAAATTCACATATGTGGACTTGCTTCTTTTTCACCTTAGAGAATGACACATTGGCCATCAGCTGAGTGCCTTTCCAGAGATTACCAAAGGCCCTGAGCTGCGTATATGTGTGCTGTCCAGTAATTGCAAGGAAGCTCTTTATTTTAATTTCACTTTTTTACCAAGAGCTCTTTATGAGAAAACTATCTTCTCCGTTTTGGGTGCCAGAAACATGTTACATGAGCTGAGAACTGAGATTGCTGCCCCAAAGCCTCTGCTGAGCTTGTCGCTTTGTGCCTTTTTTCTGGTGGGGGGGTGAGTGGCTGCTTTTCCAGAGGCCACACATCTGCATAACACGTTGCCTGAAATGCCCTCCCCTGGAACTAGAGCGTGGTTCGTACCCTCTCATGGTTTCATCTCTGATTTCTTTCCCAGTGTTGTTGATACCTCAGTCTAAGGCATTAACCCTGTTATGTATTTTGCTTGATTTGTTCTCCGTTCCTCCGTTCCACGTGCTCCTTTGTAGCTTGCTTCTCCTGATCATTTAATAAGATTTAGCCAGATGCTGTAACCCTAGCACTTTGGGAGGCTGAGGTAGGTGGATCACCAGACATCAGGAGTTCCAGACAAGCCTGGCCAACTTGGTGAAACCCCATTTCTGCTAAAAAAGAAAAAAACAAAAACAAAAATTAGCCGTATGTGATGAGCCTCGCCTGTAATCCCAGCTACAAGGGAGGCTGAATCAGGAGAACTGCTTGGACCTGGGAGATGGAGGTTGCAGTGAGCCAAGATTGCGCCATTGCACTTTAGCCTGGGTGACAAGAGCAGAACTCGAAATAATAAATAAATAAGATTTGCTTGTTGAAACCTCAAGCTGACATTCTGTAGAGGCTACTCATAGCAGAAAGAAATGTTAACCTCAGCGACTCTCGCTGTCCTCCCACACGGCAGGAAAGCCAATTAGACCTGGGGCCTTCTCACCAGGTCTGTGTCTGAACAGGGCCACACTGTTCCCTGGAGAAGGGAAACTATTTCAGTAAAAAACAACAGCAATATGCCACAGAGTTAATAATTTTATCATCAGGTGTGGTCAGAATCATCAGTCAAGGGTCAGCAGTGCATACTGCTGCACCCTACATGTGGCTTTGAGGCTCATGTATCAGACTGGAGTTTTAATTTTCTTTCTTTCTGTTTTGAGATTGTTCTGCCTTTCCAGGCTGTCTCCTTTCAGGACAGGATGCTGCTCTTGGATGGAATGTGGAATGGCTTCCATTGAGCATGCAAATAAGAAGTAAATAGCTAGAGCTGTTCTCTCCTAACCTTTTATACAGATACTTGTGTTTATGTTAAAATTCAAGTTTTAAAGTAGGTCATATGCCACATAACAATGTTTCAATCTATGACAAACTGTGTATACAACAGTAGTCCCATAAGATTATAATACTGTATTTCTCCTGTACCTTTTCTATGTTTGTTTATGTTTAGATACATAAATACTTAGCATTGTATTACAGTTGCCTGCGGTATTCAGTACAGTAACAGGCTTTACAGGTTTATAGTCTGGGAGCACCAGGCTCTGCCATCTAGCCTAGAAGTGTAGCAGGCTATGCCATCTAGGTTTGTGTAAGAACACTCCATGATGATGTTTGCACAGCAGTGAAATCGCCCAGTGATGCATTTCTCAGAATGTAGCTCTGTTGTTCGGCAACATGTGACTATATTCCAGGAATTGCTAATAAAATTGCATCTTTGTTCATTTTTGGCTGTACCTATCCGTTCCTTTGCATGACTGCAGCCACCACTGTAACCTCAGTTGTGAGGATCTGGACTCTTATAATAGCTTCCAGATCTCTGTCCTGCAGTCTCTTTGCCTGCAAATTTAACTCATCCATAGTGACCAAATTAATCTAACAGAGGCATGGCTCTGACCATGGCACTTCCCTGCTGAAAATGTTTAGTGCATCCCCACTTGTTTAAAAGGTCACCCTGGTATTTGAGTCCTTTAGGTTTTCTTTCACTGCTCCTTACTTGTATTACCCATTACTCATGATGAATGATCATTATTGTTGTTAGTATTATTACTATTCAGTAGACATTTATAGTAGCCTAGTGGGCTGCTCCTGACAGGGCACACCCTGTGGCTTTGGGTCATGTGCCTTTGCTCCTGCTGTTTCCTCTAGTATGTGGATTCGCCTTTTAACCTGCTAAAATCCTGCTCTTACCCTGGGGTATAGCAGAGTTGCTCTTTTTCCCAGGGAGTTTTCTGGTTTCCCAGCCGAAAGCACATATTCCTGCAGCTTTTTTTTTTTTGGAGACAGTCTTGATCTGTCTCCAGGCTGGAGTGCAGTGGTATGATCTGTGCTCACTGCAACCTCTGCCTCCCAGGTTCAAGCAATTCTCCTGCCTCAGCCTCCCAAGTAGCTGGGACTACAGGTGCCATTATGCCCAGCTAATTTTTGTATTTTTAGTAGAGACGGGGTTTCACCATGTTGGCCAGGATGGTCTGGATCCTCTTGACCTCATGATCCACCTGCCTTGGCCTCCCAAAATGCTGGGATTACAGGCGTGAGCCACCACGCCCAGCCCTTGGACCTCTTAAATCTCTCTCTTGATGCTTGCTTGTGTCCTAAATTCCTTTTATATTTTGGCACATATATATAATTTGTCTGAACTCCAGCACTAAATTCTTTTTCATTTCCCTCCTTTTCTCTGTGAATGAGGACACTATTTTATCTATGGTAGTTGCTGTAATATGTGTGGAGTCATCTTGGGCTAACCATCCTCAGAGCCTGTGCCAGCCAAGGGGAAGTAATGGGAGCCTGATGCAGAATAAGTGCTTAATAAATATATATGGAATGAATGAATGAAGTACTTGCTTAGAAACTTAGCATTGATAAGGGGAGAAATTTTTTGCATATCACAAGCTTTTCCAAATCCTGCTTTCCAACACACATGGTTTTCTAGCTTTAGTTGTATTCATGGTAACATTTTTTTTTAACCTGGTGGCTGCTATATTGACTGTTCTGTTTCTAGCTCTTGGGCACAGGTTTTGCCAGTTGCATTGGCTGTCTCTTTTGGTGAATTGTTTCTTGTTTGGTGTTAAGCTTTTCCTGTGAGGTCCTCATCAGTAGAGGTCATTTGATGTGGGAATCCCATGTGACTAGGATTCTGCAAACCCAGCTCTTTCTCATTTGCTTCAGTTAGTGTCCCACGGGTGTCCTGGCTTCCAGACCAGTGTTGTTATTTTCTTGGCTCAGGGACCCTGGGTGTTCTCTGTTTGGATGCCTTACCTCTACATGGGAGCTGTATGGAAATTTTGATTTCTTAGTGGTGAGATATGACCCTTTGTTCTCCCAGGTTCATCAGGATCTCAGCCCCTAGACACTAAGGCTATCTCATGTTCTGATAGCCTTTTACATCTTCAGAGCTTCAACTTTCTCTCATCCAACTTTGAGTTCTATCTTTGGTTGTGGCCCAGGGATTTATTTCTTGTGATTTTCAATTTTTTCTTTGTATTTAAGAAGTTGTTAATAATCTCTTATTCAATTTTTCCATGTATTTGAAACAGGCAGAGTCCTTCCCTGTCATCTCAGCTTACCATGTTGATTGGAAACTTTATTACCACAGTCTGATTAAAGAATTTTAAGATACTTTAGTTGCCAAATTGCAATCCCTGATTTCTGCAGAACTTTATGTTAAGTAATAATTCAGTGAATGGGTTTATGCAGATCCCCCTGCTGAGATGCCATGAACCTGAATAACCACATTTTTTGTAGTGTATAGTCTCATCCATGGCTTCCTCCTTACTTGTAGATCACTTTCTGTGCATGTCTCAGTTAGTCACTTAGGCTCTAGATTTTTACATGGCATGTGAGCCCAATCTGTAAAATTGGTGATCTGAGGTCTGTTGACTGCTATTATTTTTAGATACTCATAAATATAGACCATGTTTTCACATGCCTAGTAAATAATCTTACACCTTGATGTTAACACTAGTAAAGAAAGGTTACTTCTATGTATTTGTTTTTCACTGAAGAAAGAAATTAAATTTCAGTAGTCCAAATTAAAATCCCTTCTTTGTAACTTTGCTTTTGCTTTTTTTTTTTTTTTTAAACCTCTCTTGTAATTTGCTACTTCTGGTGTAGAGATTTGTAGTCTTATTTTGTTGTAATAAAAGAGTGTCTTTTTCCCCCCACACTACAGAAGTTAATTTTATTTGTTCAAGAACTCATATTGCAAGCATTAAACCCAGCATAGGCTTTGATTCTGTGAGCCCAAATTCACATATTGAAGATCAAAGCAAACTGCGATCCATGTACATGGATGAAAACTAAAGGCTCAGAGTTAATCTCCTTGTAGTTTTTAAACTTCTGCAGCCTAGAGCCCAGTAGTCACAGGACTTTTAGGTCCTTCTTTGGGACTTGTAGGATGTCCCATAGGGTATCTGCGCTTTTCCTGAGCTCAGCAACCGCATCATCCTTGAGCTTCCGGTTTATAATGCTGGTTAATCCCTGGGCATTGAGGATACACAGAAGGCTCAGAAAGACTTCATTCTCAATGCCAAACATCCCCTTTACCATCGTTGACATGGGTTGAATCCTGGGTAGACTTTCACATGGATTCAATAAGATCTGCACACTTAATCCGGTAGCCCAGTTGGTATATCCTTTCAGCTTGATGACCTCATAGGCACTTTCAGCCACCATCTTATGCACTTCCTTCTGATTTTCACTATCATTGTCCGTTCCCATTTCTGGATTCAGTTCCTGTAGAGAAACACCTGCCACATTCACGCCACTCCACATAGCCACACTTTAGTTGCCATATTCTCCCAAATTCCATCCATGGCAGCTGCTGGGATAAATGCCAAATTTTTCAGCCATAACGTAGCAAAATCTAGCAGAATCCAGATTACATCCACTTCCAATCACACAGTGTTTGGGTAATCCACTTAGTTTCCAGGTAACATAAGAATATCTACTGGTTGGGAAACCACAATTATGATGCCATCAGGACTGTACCTGATGATCTGAGGAATAATGAATTTGAAGACATTAAGATTTCTCTGCACCAGATTGAGACGACTCTCCCCATCTTGTTGACGGACTCCTGCAGTTATCATTACAATCTTAGAATTGATGGTCACAGAATGATCTTTATCTGCCACAATTTTAGGCATATGAAGAAATAAGGTCCCATGCTACAGATTCATCATTTCTCCTTTAAGCTTATCCTCCAAAACATCCACAAGAGCAAGTTCATCAGCCGGAAACTTTCCCAGAATGCCATACCAACTTGTCCAACACTCTCTATAGTAATCTTATTGTTTGGGACCATCACTTCTTATTCTCCAACTGGTGCAATGAGTTTTTCCTTAAGAGTTGCCATTTTGCACAGGAGAGAGAAGGCTCCGGATACCTCCATAACAGTGCAGAGAAGACAGTGTCAGCCAAGAGTGTCTCATTTGGATGCTCTGGATCTATCACTTTCCCTTTCACTAACAGAGAAAACGGGATTAAGAAGCCCTGTGACAGGTCTTCACCAGGAGGAATCAGATGCGCTGGAAAGAATCCTGCTTGGTGTCTGCATTTATTGCAGAATGAGACTCTGAAAACATGACAGAATAGTCCTCAGAGGGACTCTAGTCCTTTTGCCTTCCCTAGACTCACTCTCTTGTGCCAAGGGAACTGCTATAGAGTTTGTGAGAACCTGCAGACCTCATGCTGGTATTGTGGGGATAATAACTGTAGTGGCTTCCCCATACTCCACATGAAGAGGATTAGAATGATGGGAATAGGTCAGAAAGAGTCCTGCGTGTGTGTGGACCGGCTTTGCCTCTGAGAAAGATGAGAAGAATGCGTTGTCCGCAGGGCAGGAGACGAGACACAGCACCTCTGCTAAAGGAACAGTGGGGAGGAAATGCCCCAGCCAGACTATTTTCTGCAAGCAGCTACCAGAAGGGAAAGGAGAAGAGCATGCAACTTTATGGGGCCTCATTTTGAAACCAAAGCAAAGAGACTTATTTTTCCAGGGTCTTGGATACTTGCTCATATATGCAAACCTGAAATTGTCCTCAGGGGAAGTGAACTCTGGTGAACTTCCTTTGCACAAAAGGCCACAAAAATCTGTGCAGGATAAAACCAATAGAATTCTAAAAGAATGACTTGGCATATTTAGTTTAGAGTCAGAAGATAGGTCAGTTTATTGTTTGCCTCTGTAGCTTCTAGACCTTTCTGTTATGAATATACACTAAGAAAAAGAAAAGAGCAACATATACTGTTGAATATTTATTTTTATTTTTGATTTTGAGGCAGAGTCTCACTCTTGTTGTCCAGGCTGGAGTGCAATAGCGCAATCTCGACTTACTGCAACCTCTGCCTCCTGAATTCAGGCAGTTCTCCTGCCTCATCCTCTGAGTAGCTGGGATTACAGGCACCCACCACATGCAGGCTAATTGTTATATTTTTAGTAGAGATGAGATTTCACCATGTTGGCCAGGCTGATCTCAACCTCCTGACTTGAGGTGATCTGCTTGCCTCGGCCTCCGAAAGTGCTGAGATTATAGGCATGAGCCACCGCGCCCTGCCTGAATATTGTATAGATGATGCTTTGTTAAAGGAATATCTTGACTTTTTAGTCTGTCTCTTGATTTTATGGAAAATACTTAAGTCCATGGGATTACATTCGTTTTCTTCCCTGAATTCTTTCCTAGGAGTATCCAGTTTTGGGGAAAGTTGATCCCCCTCTCCCAGAGTACAAGAAAATTCGGCAAAGAGCTTAAGTTACGTATTACTTATTTGGAACTCAATACCAATAAATCCAACATGACTTGGCTAACTCTGGAAATCAGGCATACGTGCTGCCATCCTATCCTTTGACTTGGGCTTCATTAGGGGTAAAGAGGATTTCCTGTTGTTTTTGAACAAGAGAAAGTAGCTTTCACTGATCCTCCCACCACAGGGTCCAGTTTAAGCAAGTAAGCAGGGTGCAGTTTAAAGACGCTTCCTTTTTTTTGAGGGAAAAGGTATAGTTAAGAGGAGAGGGGGTGACCAGAGCCAATTAATAGGTAGATAGTGTATTTGCTATACTCCTCATACTGTGTTGACTTCTCTGGGGTATTGAGAAGAATTGCATGTTGCCCTCAAAATGCTTATATCTCATCTGTGGATGTGACCAAAGGCAGTAACGGTATCATTTAGAATCAGTTTATGTGATATAGCAGTTTAGAGGAGAGGAAGACTGGTAAAGATGTGTGCAGTCAGTAAAGCCCAGGGGCTTTACACGGTTTCCAGAGCATCTTCCTCCAACAAGACACAATGGTCTTGGGAGGAATCCAATTCAGATCATTTTGTTGGCAGATCAGGCATGGGACTGCAGGTGTCATGGGTGGGATTTGAAGGACACATGACATGGGGTATTATGGAGGGATCTAATGAACTGGGATCAAATGAGAAGGGCCTAGGGGAGGGCATATGTCAGTTAGAAGAAAGAGCATGTTTGTAATAAGAAATTACATTTATTACTGTTATTAGCACTTACATAGGCACTGTTCTGAGCACTTTATGTATATTCTTTTAATCTTCACTACAACTCTGTGACGTAGATGCTTTTATTATCACTCAATGACAGTTGAGGAAACTGAGGCACACAGGAAATATAGAAGCAACTTATTTGGCCAGTCGCGGTGGCTCATGCCTATAATCCCAACACTTTGGGAGGCTGAGGTGGGTGGATCTCCAGGTCAGGAGTTCGAGACCAACCTGACCAACAAGGTGAAACTCCATCTCTACTGAAAATAAAAAATTAGCTGGGCATGATGGCTTGCACCTGTACTCCCAGCTACTCAGGAGGCTGAAGCAGGAGTCTCACTTGAACCAGGGAGGCAGAGGTTGCAGTGAGCTGAGCTCACACCACTGCACTCCAGCCTGGGTGACAGAGCGAGACTCTGTCTCAAAAAAGGTAACTTATTTATGCATTTATGCCTACCTACACAGACAATGGTGGAGCTGAGATCTGAACCCAGGCCTTTTGGCTTCAGAGTCTGTGTTTTTAACCATGCTGTGTACCTGCTTAAGTAGATGTGAAAGGAGTAAGGGGAGTTAAAAGCAAGAGAAGTTGTTGGAGAGAGAGGAAGTTCCAAGGTCAGGATTTCAGTGGAGCAGGTCCTAGGGATGCAATGTTCATTTGGTGGCCACAGGGAGGACGGAGTTGGTGGTAGATAGGGGAGTGAGAAGTCAACTGCATGAGGCAAGTTCTGGAATCAGGAAGGCAAAAGTAACAGTCCAGAGCCCTTAGTCTGTGCTGGGCACTGGGGATAGAGCTGTGAAAAGGCAGATGAGGTCTCCACTTCTGTGGCACTTCTGTTTTTTTTTTGAGATGGAGTTTCGCTCTTGTTACCCAGGCTGGAGTGCAATGGCGCGATCTCGGCTCACCGCAACCTCCGCCTCCTGGGTTCAGGCAATTTTCCTGCCTCAGCCTCCTGAGTAGCTGGGATTACAGGCACACGCCACCATGCCCAGCTAATTTTTTGTATTTTTAGTAGAGACGGTGTTTCACGATGTTGACCAGGATGGTCTCGATCTCTTGACCTCATGATCCACCCGCCTCGGCCTCTCAAAGTGCTGGGTTTACAGGCGTGAGCCACCGTGCCTGGCCACTTCTGTTTATTCTACTGATGGAGCCAGGCAGTAAGAAAGCCTTCCAGTAGAGGAGATAATTGTGGATTGTGGTACCTGCTACAGAGGAATGAAGAGTGTGATGGAGGGTTACTGGCATGACCCACATAATGTTGGGTGACCAGGGAAGGTGTCCCTGAAGAACCGATGCTTGAGCTGCAATCTGAAGCATGGGAAAGCCCAATCTATGAAGAACTGGGAAAAGCTCATTACAGACCAAGGGGTATGGACTGTTTAAGGAATGGCGAGGAACCAGGGTGGCCAAAGCATAGCGAGTGTGGTGGGACCTGGTGAGGGAGATGAGGCTGGAGAAGGCAGCCAGGTCACATCAGAGTGGAGGGCCTTGGTTAGGAGTTTCAGTTGTTTCCTAAGAACAGTAGGGAGCTACTGAAGGTTGAATAGGTGGGGGGCATCTAGGGTGCTAAATGGATGTGCCTTTTTGATCAGGAAGGGGCAAGGAGGTGGTGAGAGCAGCTTGCACACAGCATATTTAGGTTTGAATCACGGCCAGCATGGCTTTTCTGCCTGGGGAACGGTGAGCTGCATCTCAGAGTTTCTCAGTGGTCAAGTTGTGATCAAGGTTCACAGTGGCAAGACTTCACACCCACCTTTTAGCCATTAACTGCGCTTTTATACCTGACTCTGCATAGAGAGAAAAACCAAGTGTATGATCTTAAAAGATTAAACATTAATTTTTATTTGTTTGTTATTATATATATGGGAATTTGTAAAACAGTTACTTTATAGGTAGTGGATGCTTTTGATATTGGGAGCAGAAAACCTTTTACTGAATGATTTTCTCCTTCCCAAGATGGAGACTCAAAGTGGAGACACGATTAATTGTCCACTCAATGCCTATATCCTGTTCCATTGTTCCTCATAGGGCCTTAGTTTAATTCAGGGTGGTATGGAGGTCACCCTTGACAGTAGATTGTAATGATTAAGCCAATATGCCAGTCCTGAGCCCTGATCTTCTAGCATTCCTTGTAGCAAGTGTGGCCCTGTGACCTACTTCTGGCCAGTGAGACCTGAGAGTAAGTCCACTGGGATGGGGGTGGGGTTGCTGGGAAAGCCTTTATTGTCTTTATAAAGCCTGACAAATGAGTTTATCAGTACCCTTCACTGCTTTGCCATTCTTTCTGCCTTGAATGATAATGATGCCTAAGTGTACGGCAGCCTTCATGTCACCATGAGGTGATGACGAGCATGAAGGGAAGGCCAAGAGCCTCAGAGATGTCTGCCCTGACATTGTTTTCAAGCCAACACCTGCAGCCTTGGGCCTTCCAGCTCCTTTTTATTTGTTGAATCCACTGGTAGATAGGTTTTCTAATACTTAAAGCTGGACTGTTAAATGAAGCACATATGAAGATGCAGATGTTATGAGCCGTTTCCTCTGCATTGTGACAGCCTCATACATGGCCTTGATATTCAGTATGACCTTTATCTGGGGCAAACGTCTATGAAAAGAAAGCGCTAACTTGTATTAAAAGTTGTTCACAGTTGAAAATGATGAGCTGTTGAGTTGTGGACTTGGAAATGTAATTTTCAAAATAAATGAACTCCTCTGTGTGAACTCACTGTAGCAAGTACCATGGAGACATACTTCATGGGCAGTACCTTCCTTATGGCCTTTTTTATGATAGTCTTAGTTTTCTGGCAAACTACAGTGTGTATATTTATGGCTTTATAGGAAACTATAGTAGTACTGGGGTA